CCGGGCTCAATGCCTTATCCCTTGCCGCAGGGGCACATCCCCCCCTCCCCCCCTTCCTGCACGGCTGCTGTGAAGGACCCCCTCGCCCACAGGTTGCAGCCTAGAGCCCCCCATCTAGGATCAGCCTGCGCTCTCCCTGCCTCTCAGCCCCACCACGTCCTTCCTGAAATCACCCCCCAGCCTCCCCCAAGATGTCAGGAGGCCGAAACGGGAGGTATGGAGCAGAGGGGCTAGGCGGAGGGCTGCCACTCTTGCTGGACCCCTGTTTTCCCACCATTCCACAACGCCCTTTTTCCAGCAGGGACACGAAGCGGCTGCTGGGACTGACGCATCAGCCCACCCCCACCAGCATCCCTATGAGATTCAGAGCCTTCACCTCCTGGAGCAGAGGCTGCCTGGAGCAGCAGAAGCCTGTGGCCCCCACCGCAGGGCTCCCAGCAAGTCCGAACAGCATGGGCTGACCCTGCACGGTGCCTCACATCTCCAGGCATCACTGGCAGGGGGCTCACCCTGAAGAACTGAGTTTGCTTTTGGTTTGTTTTCAGATTGTCGAGCTCTAGCCCAGTTGGGACCAGGTGTCCCGATTGTGGCATATCTCCCAGTCTTTTAGTCAGGTTACCCGCATGCCTTTGGAAACGTTTTCCTTGCAAAGTCAAGGGATCCTATCAAGAGGGCCAAGATTTTGGACTCGGGTGATTGCGGTAAAGAGGTAGAGAGGGGGGAGAGCGATTCCCGGCTCGCCACCTGTGGGCATTACTCTTAAGTGGGGGCTGAAAACAGATGGACCCTATTTATGAGGAGTTTCAACAGTGCTAAGCAGAACTACATGCTGAAGGTTAGGCCAGTTTAGAAATGAAAATGCAGCCCTCCCTTGCCCTGAGGGAGCATGTGTCTTCTCTAGCCCTTTCGCCTCATCTGGAGCTGGAGTGGAGAGCAAGTCAAATGAATGCGAGCATCAAGGAGAGCTGGCCACGGGACCTACACACCAGTATGGGATTCAGCCCTCCCCTTCAAGCAGCACCTACCTTCTTTTGGCGGCCGTTTTGCTTCTCTGGTGAGGTTGCAGACCTGAGTGGTTTGCAGCTCCTGGGTCAGGCAGCCCTCCGTCTGCTCGTTGAGGGGCAGCACCACGTTGTTGAGCAACACCAGGGACTGGTCATCTATTCCCCATTCTCCCAGATGCTGAGGGCAGGTGCATTTTGTATACATGATCCCACAGGACTCGGTTCTCCCGTTCTCGGATTTCAAGCAGCTCTCCAACCAAGTGCATAACACATGGCACCCAAACTGGCTTGGGCTCACCTTGTTCAACACCAAAAACTCAAAGAAGGATTTTTGGTCTTCTTCTTTTTTATGTAATCCTGGGAAATCGATGGGATAGACGCGGCGTATCTGAATAAAATTCTTATCATACTGCAGAAATACAAAAGCATTCTTGGAATCGCAGAGCTGCATTATAGAGTGGTTATTTTTTAAAAGATCCTTTATTTTTTCATGGGAAAAATGATCAAACTGATAAGCCAAGAGGGAAAAGTTGGAGCAGCTGAAGTCTTTTTTGGAAAATTTCAGGTAAATACTATATTTGGTCGGATCTGGATTTTCCAGCGTCCAAGTGCAGTTTGTGAAGTTTTTAGGAAACATTTCACTTACAGAATATGATCCATAAATGACCCCCTTCACCAGCGTGGAACACCAGAAGTCTTGGGCAGCATTAAATCCAAACATAACCAGTAGATAGGTGGAAAATATATAAATCAGCAAATTACGAACAGCCTTCATCCTATGTCATTTGGCCTGCAGGAGATGAAATGAAATAAAAATGCAAGTAGAATTCTTCACGCATTGAAAAACCAAACTCCTTCCAATATTTGAGCCAGCTGTTTCCGAGCTTGCAGTTAGAGCCCCTTTCAGCAAGGAGGGCAGGTAATTTTTATTTTATAACGCAAGGGATGGGTTTGCCGCTGTGTGCGCAGCGCCATCACGTGGCCTTCGCAACAGCCAAGTCTACAGCCAAATTAAAAAACAACATCTATTAGGTTATTAATAGGAATGTCCTCTCCTGTCTAGGAGGTAGTCATCATGGCGTGGACTAGAACCGTTCAATTTAGGTAAAAAAAACCTAGACGCCTTACCCGACAGACTAAGAAGAAGGGCAATTTACTTATTTATTTCTTCAAAAAGTAAATAAGTAGTCTGCTATAGTCATATATGTGCACACACAATCTGCACATGCGGAATTCCACTGGAATAGAACAAGAAAGCCAGTGGCATCAGTTGTTCTGTATTATTTTTCTATTAAGTCTGAGAAACAACTGTGAAGAATTATAGCCATAATTTAAAACCACACAAATTATTATTTGTTACAGATGGAACATTATCTCCCATATGCCTGCATGCCTTCCTCCTGGCCACCTGGTACACAGAGGTCTCTATAAAAAGAAAACCCAGGCAGGAAATACTGAGATTAATGTATTAATACAATTTTGAGAGTATTGGAGAAAGAAACAAAGACAGATGGATGAAACTAGTGCTGGTCTGACACTACCGCTAAACACCAGCTTTTTAAGATAGCAATTTCAGTCTGCTACAACCTCTTAGCATGCATAAAATGGATCACTGTGTTAGCATCTACAGCCAGTATCTCTATACAGCTGGCAGTGCTACAGCAGGATCTCTGCACCTATTGGACTGCACTTGCCCTCTTATTATGAGTATGTCGTACTGCCTGATTAGCTGTATTTTGCGGACGTGCGCTCGAATGAAGAAAGACATATTACATTTTCTCTGCTGGTTATCTCCGAATAAAGCTGTTTTACTGCACCTGTCAACCATTACAGCCTCCACATGCTCTGTTCGCTTAACAGTGGCCTAGGTTATTAAAGCAAACCTCAGTTATATTTACCTCCGGAACGTTATCCAAAAAAATCAAATCGAATGTTTTCAGCATTAACCTTTGAGAAGTTGCTTTTCTCTTACAAATGAGTAGCTTTCCGCCTTCTGCTGTCAAATGCAAGCAGACAGAAGTGATGCCAAGCTAATTTCCAAACTCCCTAGATTGCAGTCTCTTCCACTGTTGCTCTGTAAGCAGAGGCAGACATACACACACAGGCACCGTCACTGAGTTTTGATCTGTGTCTTTGCCCAGCTTTTCATCTCCTCACCAAACAGCAAGGCATCTTCTGTCTCCCATTGCGTAACGCACAGCAAATCACCGGATTAAGCTCCCTTGAAGAGATTTCCGTGTCTCCTAGGTTGTAATTTAAACTCTGAATCTTGAAATGGGCAAAGCAGCACCAACTCTAACCCTCTTTATAGTTCAGGTTTAAAAAAAAAAAAAAAAAAAGCAGAACTGCTGCCGGGTCTATCCACACGGTCGGATTTTCTCCTTTCTGAGCATCCATCTCAATGAATAACACGGTCCTCCTTCTCCAAGCAGGGTCGATACAGCATTTAAGGTTTTAAAAACCAGAAACTTATCGGGAATTCTGGAAGCAATTTCCCCTTTGCCGAAGCACTTTGCAGGCAATGCAGTTCTGCGCAGTGTTATTCAGGATGGTGTAGGCGTTGAAAGCCAATGTGACAATAAGTGTCTAAATTAGGAATTCCACCCATGAAAAAGGATTAATTTTATAATCTGGAAAGCAAAAAGGGGTCTTACTCGCTGTTCTGTTTGAAAAGACAAAAAGCCTTTGACTTTTCCCATCCTATGTAATATCTGCACGAGAGAAATAAAGACGCCTGCAGTGCCAGGCTGTTTTCTACGAAGAAATAGCCCTCATTTTAGTTGGGTGTTTGTTCATGCAAGGCAATTGAAACGCAACGTTGTCTTAACGTCTCTCTCCCTGTGTGCCTTACACACACATACACACACACACACATGCACACCCGCCCCGAGTGTGCCGGCGGCATTTCGTTTAGTTCGCAGAACACGGGAGTGAATCTGCTCACTGGAAGGGTCAGGCACTCAGATTGAAAAGATCTTTCGCTTGCATGGAGGAGGGAGTTAAGGAACGGCCACAGAGGCTTGAGGTTGCCCGTTTGGGAAGGGGGAGAACCCTTTTCTGCTCTGCAGCAAACGGGCGTTTAGTCTGGATATTCCCCGAACTGATTTTCTGGGTGACACTGTAGTTTAGCCGAACATAGACGGCGCCATCACTCCACTTATTTTTTTTTCCCCCAACAGAAGACCCACTGACTTCTCTTATTTTAACTTCCTATTAACCAAACGTTCCCCCCCCCTCCCCCCAGAAAAATCACCCCCAATCGTGCACAAACCTCTGGTTTTCTCGGTCTCGCTGGAAATGTCTCTCGGGGAAGCAGACCTGTCGCCAAACGGACTTCTCTAACTTTTAAAACTGCGGGGCTGAAGTAAACGCGGAGATCATTTCGTGCGCGCCGTCCCTTTCTCCGTCCTCCAACAACAGCCTGTCCCCCTCCCCGCCCCCCCCCCCCGCACCCGGCGCCCCCCAGCCGTAATCCCGGGAGATGGGGGATTGAAATGCCCCGGGCGCCCTTACCTTCCCCTCCGAAAGCTGTCGGGCTGTTTCTCTACAGCGCTGACGCCACAGGCACGCGTCCCAGCAGCAGCGATGGAGAAATCCCCCGGCTGTCGGAAGCACCGTTTCCCATTTTCCCCGGCTCAGGTTCAAAACCAAGATTGGAAAAAAAACCCCCCCCAAAAAAAAACACAAGAAGAAAAGCAGCAGGAGACAAAAAAAAACAAAACA